CGGGTTTCAAAATTTGTCAGAATTTTGACGGGTTATTTACTAATAGTTTATTATAATTTTGACAGAATTTAGACAGTTACTAAGGGATTTCAGCAAGCAACCTTAACTGTATATAATACAAGAATAACAAAATATTAAACTATTCCAAGTCTCAAACAAATTAAAATTATAATTAAATCTTATAATTCTGAAAATTCTACAAGGTATAGTGCTACAAAAATATCAAAATATCAAAATATCAAAATATCAAAATATCAAAATGTCAAAATATCAAAATATCAAAATACTAAAATATCTAAATATCAAAACATCAAAATATTAACATTATGAACTACAAGAAATGTTAATTTGGTAGTCACATGCAAAGTTTAATTACCGAAAAATCGGAAAATTCATACCGTGCGAATATATAAGAAGCAATCGTTGATAAGTGAAATTGGTGATAACAAATCACTTCTAATGACGGGAAGACGCGGAAATCAACAAACTCCGGCTCGTCGTGGTGCACAACAACGTCAAGGTCTAGGAGACGGTCCACCTTCACAAATTCGCGGAAGAGGAAATCGAATATGGCGAGGAGGTGGTCAAACCCGTGGGAATACGCAAGTACACAACAATCATACTGGAGGATCTGCGACATCTTCAATTCCAAAGAGTATTTCCTCAACAAATCCCTCATGGCCACGAGCTAGTGGTGGTAATATTTCCTTGACTCGGGGTGGTGCAAATAATGTTCGTAGACCATATAATATGACTTGGAGGGGAAACGCTGGTAGTCGTGGAAGAAGAGAGCGAGACATACTTGCACAAGACGAAGAAATGCTTGCACAAGACGAAGAAATGCAACTATATGAGGATGCTGAAATGAAAGATTCTTCTGCAAATGAACACAGTCAAAAAACCAACGGTGATTTATCAGCAAATCAAATCATTTTTGACTTTCCTTCACCTTCAGGATTTAACTTAGCTAATAATAATAGTAATAATTCAATGATATTTAATGTTTTAGGACATAATAATAATAACAACAACATAACATCCACAACATTTCCACCGCCAACAACACCTACACTTCCTGGAAGATCTTCAACTTTTGGCTTTCCGAGTATGGCACCAACACCTAAATCTCTCGATAGTGATGTAGGAACAAAATCTGGTGCGAATATGACGAGGTCTAAAGACGTAGTTCACAATAAATTATTTGGAGAAGGTGATACAGGCGAAGTAACGAATTTGGGAAAATCACCAGATCCGAATGTTCCTGAAAGTGATGTGGTTATGGAGTTTTTGGAGAAATTTCATAGGGAATATAATCATACATGTGCACGTTGTCGGGCTGCTGATTTTTTCTACACAGATCCACTTCCACTTCAATTAGATCGTAAAATTATATTTGAAAAAAGCGCAAAAAACCAAGCAGATAGACCGATGGAGTATTTAAATAACAATAATAATCAGCAAACGCCTCAAGCAATGCCGCATTTCTTTGGTGATTCACTTTCCAAACACACAACGACACCATCCACAACAACATCCACACCGGTATCATCCACGGAGTTTTCATCTCAAAAATCACAGTTAATTAATAGTAATCTTGTAGGCCATATAGAAAAGTCTAAAGAAACGACGATAACATTTGGACTGATTCCACCACCAAATGTTGCGGTTTTACAAGATACCCCAAATGATTTTCATAGTAAAATACCATCGACATTTTTTGATGATTTACCAAACTCGCAGACACCCAAACTTCCAACACCACGTTCTTTATTTAATTTTCCACCACCATTACTACCACAAATCTCTGGAACACCACAAGAAAATCTCTTGGTAATTCCATCACCCTCCGGAAGACCACAAGAAAAACCCGAAAAAGCTTTAAGTTTTGAACTCGATGAAGGAAAAGGAAAAAGGTGTTTACCGATTGATTCTGAGTCTGAGAGTAAAAAGAAAAGATGTCTATCACCGGAATCAGTTGATGGAAATGTCAAAAGTAAAAAGAAATTGTCTGAAGATTTGGACTCGAAAGAAGAAGAAAAAACCAGAGGAAAAGAAAAGGTTGCAACGGTTGCTTCAGCAAAGTTGACTCCGTCAAAAAAGAAAGAAGTGAAAAAGATACAAATCAAACTGAAAAAACGGAGTCGCCCATGGCAAGAGATTAAAGTTGATCACGATTGGCATAACAGCAACTTCAAATTACGGTATTTACTTTTCGCCTGCTACTATCAGATTTTCATGTTTTCAATTTCGCGTTAAATATTGATTGGATCTTTTGAAAAATTTGCTTTACAAGTGGTTCCTTTTGTAGCTGGAATGAATCAAAGTGCATGAATCCGAACTGTAAATCGCATAAATTCCAGCAACCTTTCTGGCTTACAAAGATGGTTAAGGAAGGACCTAAAAAATTCATATTCTAAATATATCACGATACGAGAATGAAAACAATTGATGGAGGAAATCATCATCGTAGATTTGATTAATGGACTATGAAAAAAGACATTGTATATATATTTACTCTATTTATAAGTTCGCATTCTATAATTCACGATTGGTAAATTATTATATCACTTGCAAAACGTTACACAATCGAGCAAATAAGTTTTAACTATAATAAAAAATAAACATTCGATGCACATTAATTATATACTTTGTTTATCGTTTATGTAGTTATGTAGTAATGCCCTGCACACTAACACATAATATCAATTTGGTTCAGCATGAGACTATCGATTGAAGAATTTCGGAGTATTGTTGCACCGATTCCCGCTGAAGTTAAATAATAAACCTCTCTCAATCATTGAAGTTCTGCCAAGAATTTTCGTGTGCGGGGAAAATGCAACGCACAAAGTATGACATAGATTATAATCATGAATGATAAATAATAAATAATAACGCTTTAAAGTTTCCTTGACATATATACAGGATGAATGGAGATGTTGATCGCCCGTTAAATTCACTTTTTCGTCTAAAAGCAGTAAGGGGGAGTGGCGGCTGTGTTAATGTTGGTGAACATGATACCAACCAAAATAAAATGTGATTTTTATGGGTGATAACTTATAAATTTCGATTTTTCTTTGTTTGTTTTGTTGTGCTCTAAGAAGATTATTCAAAAGAAAACATTGAAAACAGGCAATGCCAGGTTGTCTGTTGATCTTTTATATTACATTGTTGTCGGCTTCATTAAAACCTGTATTATTATTGTTCAAACGCTATTAATAGAAGCACCATTTGATAAACATTAATTTGCTGACTCCTTTTATCAATGAAGATTTGATGATTAATATAGCATGATGTGATGTGATGTGATATGAAAATAAATAAATTGATAATTCGGGCTTCCATTTTCTGCTCGAATCACAAGCTTCGTATTACATAGTCTTATGCCCCAGCCCAATCTTCGCATCATATCTGGCTGATATCAATGCATCCATAAATTCTGATACAATTCTGGCCCCTAAAAACCATCATAAAATCCCCCACTCAGATGATAACTCCTCAATCTTGTGTACATACTCTCACTCACCAGAGTTTTACCCAGAGTTGAGAAAAATAAAAATAATAAATACCATTATTTATTATTCTTATCTGAAAAATATACCACAAATATACATACACACACTTTTCTCGTCCTCGACGAAATTTATCCAGTAAATAATAAAAGAATAACAATAAAACCTGTTTTTTGTCTTCGAGTGCATATACACAAGGTTGGTTTAGTATTCTCAACTTCTTACAACACTACATGGAAGATAATCACCTTTTGTATTTTACGCGTTTTTCTTTTTCGAAAAAATTGCTAGCCTCTCTAACTCCGAAAATCTTATTTCATAAAATAATATACCGTTATAAACAATCACATAGCTTTTCTGAATCACTCTTTTTTGGCTATCGAGAAATAGAAGAGACTCGAACAAAAATTTAGCAACTCAAAACAAGATACTATCGAATCTCGCACACCTCGTTATCTGCTTGATAAGACACGCGTAAAACATGGAGAGCAATCTTGACCCTAATCTTTTGGCTGAATTGACAGCTAAACGCGATCAAGTATGTATTATCCGAAATTTATTTCACTCTGTGAATCCTCTCCATTTTATGCAAGCGAGCTTATTGTGTGTATGGTTTCAATGTTAGCTTGCAGAGGCATATGAACAAATCGCTATTTCACTTAGAGCTGCTGCCACCGCATGTGGAGAATTCCAGGCATTATTGCCTAGAGACGTTATAGGATTGCCACCTATTGTTCCAATTCCACAACAACAACAACAACAACAACAACAGCAACAGCAACAGCAACAAGAAGTTGGCGTTGCATCAAACCAAAGAAGGATCCGAAAGCCTCACGCTAAAGATCCGAATGCACCAAAAAAACCTAATACGGCTTATATTCTGTTTAGTAATGAAATTCGAGGTGCTACCAAAACTGAATTTCCGGATCTTAATCAAAAAGAAATAGTGACAAAGATTGGACTGAAATGGAAGGAATTATCACGCGAGCAGAAGAAGGTATTTAAATATATTTGCTCGTATCTTGGTATTGCATTCATCTAAACCTCTTTTCTTATTTTCACAAATTTTAGGTCTATGAAGACCGATACTTTGCTGACCGAGAACGATATGATGAAGAATTGCGAGTTTATCGAGCCTCACAAGGGATCTTTGAATCTCCCACCGAAACCTCATCTAATGAAGATAATGGTGATCAAAGTGTTCTTGCGACTGCGATGATCCAATCTGGTACCACGCCACATTTCAATGCTGGAATGCAACTACCTATATCTCATAATCTGACATCTGCAGGACCCTTGATGACAACTTTCTCTGCAAACGAGCAAACTTCGCTCGCTTTTACTACGGCTGATCAGACTGCTTATATTAATGCAAATAACCATCAAACGTCATTCGCAGTAGTGCCTGAAGCTTCCCCCGCAAACCCTACTGCCACAGTACAAGATGCAAATTCGGTTTCCCCAAAAAAGCGTAATTCTGACGAAGCTGAATTAAATACAGATGCAACACAAGAGGTCGCTGATAATCAGCAAGAAAATGGTCAACTTGAGGACGAAAATATATCAGCGAGGAAAAGACGAGCCCTTAATAAAGGCAAAAAAAATCAAGATGCAGAACCAGAAGAGACTGATTCATCCGTGTTCAATGTACCTGTAACTGATCCTGATCCTCCTGCAAAAAAGACACGAGCACGACGCAATCTTACATCAAATGGAGCTCCAGCTGTCGTTCCCTTGCAAGAAGATGCCACAGTGAAGAGACGACGGGGTAGAAATGCAACATAAGTTTTCTCTTGTTTGATTACTTCGACTGAAATACACATTTCTTATTAGCTCAATCGTTTCTGAGAAGCGTAGAGGAACTTTAGACATTCATTCTTAAAAAATAATTATAAATTAGATAGATTTTAGCGCCTATTCTTTTTATTTTAGATTTTTTTTTCTTTTTAGTAAAATACAATCTTCGATTATATTTTGTTTGCTTTTTATTTCCTCTTAGAATTCTTGTGCAGTACAATTGCGCATGTGAGGTGGTGTTTGGATAGTGAATTCCTTATTACATTCTTGACTGCACAAAACTGTCTTCGCTTCTTCTACCTGCAAGATTTCAATGTAAAATAATTTTTTTTTTGCTTGAATTACCACTTTCTCATACACATTATAAACGCCACACACACCAAAAATGTAAATATTTTCTTGTGTCTGCGTTTTTTAATAAAATAAAATTCAGTTTTTTCACGACGCGTCTTTTAACAATTTAAAATTTGGCATAACGCGTTTGATCGCTGGAGTGATATCTCGTTGTCATCACAAAATTAATCTACAAAACTATGCATTTATGGGGCAATGTTTATTTATTGGAGAATAATTTTAGATTCTAGAATTAGTAAAAATGTTCATTTATTCATCATATTCCACGTCCCCTTGCTCGGGTCCTTTTTCCTCTTCCGGCACCACGCCCCCTTCCACGTGAACTACTACCCATCGATTGTAATTCAACGTAATTCGGGGAATTATTGCTAATGTCCTTGGACGTTTTTGGTTCAGATTTTTTTGCACGTGAGATTTTTTTAGTTGGACGAGGAAAGAACCGCGAATACTTTGCAGTTTTTAATTTCCTTCCTCGTTTTGCAACACTTTTATCATCATCACTGTCACTCTCTTCAGAACTATCGTCCGAGCTTGAAGTACCAGATGTCATATTACCATCGTTATCCTTTTGTGTTTTGCCCTGTTCATCTGCAACTTTACGCTTTTTGATGTTTTTTATTTCACCACTGTCATCATTATCATTATTACGGTCCCGGCGAATAGCACGTGTGGATGAACTTGATCCAATTCGATTACTTTTCATTTCTTCCTCTGAATTATTATTATTCTCTTCCGAGCTGTTGTTTGTGCCAGATTGCGATCTTTTATTTTTTTTCTTCCACCCATCCACTATTCGTTGAATTCTTGCACTTTTGTGTTGTGCTTGTTTGCTTGTTTTAGGAAAGTCTCCAGTCCCACCAGTCATGTCGAAAAAGGAATCAATCGTGGCTTGCTGCCTTTGTGTGCTAATACTTTCAGCCTGAAATACAAAATTAACGATCATTTCATTAAATAAAAAAACATAATCAAGAATTTACCGAATGTTCACTTACATTTCGCTGATTCTTATTACGTATTATGGGTATAAGTGTTTCATCTATCTTATCTTGAGTCCACAAAAGGTTAACCATCAGGAAACTGGGGTAAAAATATAAATTAATGTTCAAAAAATTTCGATGAAAGTACTTTATACGATAAAGTGCGCTTACTCTTTCAGCGCATTTAGATCTGGTACGCCCCATTCGAATGACATTGTAGAATCATCAACTTGGGGATTAATATATGCCTCTCGTACATGCTGATTCAGAAAGTCATCAGGTAATATTAAATCTTTTCTACTCTTCCTCTGATAATTAAAAAATATAAGTGAAAAGAAATTCCAACACTATTTTAGAAAAATTATGAATAATACTTGCAAATTTTTTTCTAAAAGAATTTTCTGCTTCTTCATCCATAGACAACCCACTTTGCACGCCATTCCACCATTCTTTAAATTTTTCTAATCCATTATCATCAGGAAATTCATTCAGTATTTCCATTGCAGTAACAACCCCGACACCCGGCAATCCTTCGGTATAATCACTTCCAAGTAGATGAGCCAATCGAATAAGCTTTTCTCGATCCAAATTCATTTCTCGTTCAAGATCGTGCATCAGAAAACATTCTACAAATTGTTGTTGGTTAAACATATTTTTGTAGACTCGTGTGCCACCGAATAGAAAGACATCACTGTCGTCGGTTACTATGCCATCGACTAACGATAATCGACAGAGTTCGGCGCATTGTGCTTCGGCTTCCATTGGAGCAATGATATATGGAATTCCGAATAATTGCAATAGTTGCTTTTTGTGAAAATATGATAAATTATTCGGTCAATGAAAATTAATTAGAAATAATTAATATACTGATTTTTCATACTTGACAGTCGTTGATCATGGTTTGTGTTAATTCGTCGGTATCGCGCATTTCACGCCTTTGCTGCTGATTCAATGTTTCAATTTCATCATTTAATTCTTGTCGTATTTCATTCAAGTCTTTACTCTTGAGCTGGGACATAAAACGCGCAAATTCGGAATTTTCCTCTACCATTTGAATAGAAGCATCACGTTCATTGACGTTATCATTTTCTTTGAGCTCGTTAATTTTTGCTTCTGTATGATTATCATCATCGATTGACATAGCTTCTTCCTGCTGATTACCGTTCAAGTTTAAATCAAATTCAAATTTATTTTTAGTATTCGAGATATTTTGTTCAAGTTTAGTCTTAATATCTTTGCTCGATGAAACAGATCGAGAAGATAATTCATCAATTTCTTGCTGCATCTTTTCGACATTTCTGTTTGTTTCATCGGACGCATTCAAATCGCTTACGTCCGATATTAATACATTTTTTTTATATTCTGTATTAACAACCGAGTCATTGTCTATTGAATTTGATTGAATTGTGAGCCTCATAGTTTCTTTTTCTGCGTTTGGAAATGAATCAGCTTCTAAAGAATTATCGTACGTTTCATTGACATTTGAAGCTTCCATACTATTATAATTTGTATTTTTCGTATTATCCTCTGATTCGTAATCATCATCGATCAAAGAATCGGAATCCAAATTTTCCATTTTTGAAGTCATATCCATCAAATCAGTATTTCGCATTTGTCGCCAAGCAAGGGTGGCGCTTAATAAATTTCTCCAATATTCAAATATTTCTAGCTTCTTTTCGTCACCATCTTTTAGCTTTCCTAATTTCTTTTCGACAACGGACTTTTGTGCTTCTAACTCTTCTTCATCCCATTCATAAAAAGCAGTACGGATCAAAGTCTCATGATCAGAAAATTCATCACAGAAATCAGGCGGCATACGCGAAACCCAAAAGGCATAGAATGACTCCAAAGGTAAGTCAAGCTCTTCTTACAATTATAATTAATCAAAGTATCAATATATTGTCATCTAAAGTGATTTGATTTGAATTTACCAAATAATTACCCGTCTGTCCTTCAGAGAATAATGACTCGTGAGATTTATCGAGTGCAACAAATTTTGCCATTATTGTCTCGATTTTCTCGTCTTCAGAAACATAATTCTCATTTCTTTCAATTTCATCGGAGACATCAGCTGTATTTAAATAATAAATTCAAAGTTATATATTTCTAGCCAAATATAAAATTATAAAAAATAGACATGAAACTCAAAATTTTTGCCTTTCAAGGGTTCAGGGTATAATTCTAGTGGTAATAAGTCTTCGGCTTCAACTAAGTTTTCATCTTCATCTAAATCTGCTTTTTCATTTAGATCTAATGCTGTGCTTTAATAATATTCAAATTAGAAATTGACAAGTTGAATAAACCAAAAATACTTTATAAAACAAAATATTTTCTTACGTGGATGCATTAACTTCTTCCCAATCATCGTTTTCGTCAGACTCGGAACTAGGTTCGAGTTTAATAGGTTCTACTTTCATCCCAGCCGATTTTCCCATCGTCCAGCCTCCAAACCCATCATCATTTTTAATCAAGACATATTCTCGGTTTCTTTCTGCTGCCACACGAACAGGTTTCGAAGACGCAGTAGTTTTATTGCTAAGAGCATTATTACCAACTTCCAAGAATTTTTGTGTCAAACTATTGCGATGCAACAGATTTTTTATTTGAAGCTTTGAAAAATCAAAAGCCGTGTATTAACTTGAGAATTAAATTTAATACGGGGAGCAATTTTAGATCTTTGAAATGTTCTTGTAACAACTAGAAAGAAAATCAAGGATATTGGAGCCTTTTTGATTATATTCTGCAACCTCTCATAAGAAGTCTGTCGACTTTTTAGACGCAATTCGCCCACGATTTCATATTGCATTTCTAACGGTAAACTGCGAAATCCTTCAGAATCGATATCAATATCATCAGACTAGAGAAGAAAATTGTATGGTATGAGAAAAAGGCACAATGAATCTTTTTTCACATACAAAAGCGCCACTCACTTTTATTTTAAACTCTTCAATAAAACGTCGGAGGTCTTCTTCATTAGCAAATCGCACATCATCCTTTTGAATCATAGACCTGGATTTAATAAATAATGGATAAATCTTTGGTTTTATGTATTGCTAGCATATATTAAATGCATAGTTACTCTATTCCTCCGATGATTGGCGGCAATTCATATTCATCCATTTTTTTACGTTTATGAAGTTGTGCAGGGGTTAAATTATGTTCGCCATAGTAAACTGTGTCATCGGTAATTATTGGCTTGTTTTGTGGCCCAGTATTTGGCTTGAAATCATCACTATTGAAATAGATTACGTGAGCTGTAAATTTTATTCAAGTATTTCCGTGCGTATAACCACTTGTGTTTTAATCGTAAAAATTGACCTATATGCATCATCAAAATTTGTTTAATTACTTTTTCTTTTCGGATTCCTCGATCGCGCGAAGTCGCAATTGATTTGCCAGGATTTTTTCCGCCGTTTTTTGTAAATTTTTGGTTTTGCCAGCGCGTCGCCTACGGCGTTCTATAATTTAATTAGCAAGATAAAAAATCTCCGAGATAGCAATAAAGCATAAGCCCATAAGCGTCTTTTATTATTCTTAAAAATCAACCAACCAACAACAGTTTGACGTTTCAATGCAGGAATACCCCCATCAAAAACAAACACCGGCTTTATGTTATAAAATAAAAGTTTGCATATTCGACGAAAAAATCCCAGCAAATGAGCATTTTTTAATGAATTGCCGTTTTTATCACGCATCGCCTTAAGGAATTGATGTAACCAAATGCTAGCGTGTGATCAAGCGAAAAGATTTAAGGATCAATTGAGGTATAGATAATGATTTTTAACTTTTTATTCGATAACGTCACCATTGAAATTCTGTTATAACTAATGCTTCTAATTTCCTAATAAACGATAAAACTCAAAAACCCCAACTTTATTTCAAAAAAAGGATATCAATAGCAAGTTTTTTGTTGTTTAAAGACTCTAGCTTTATAGGTCGTGCAACAGGTTCTAACAAGCTCCAAAGCCCTTTTACTCCCATGTTGTAAGGAAGAAGAAAATTAAAGATGATAAATCGGTGTTTTAAATTCTGGGTGAAATTAGCAGAGCATGAATCATAACTAATCAAATTTATGCACGATATTATTGTAATTTGTAATTTGATATTGTCACCATATGGCCAATTTTGGTAGTTTTGGCTGGAGTTAAATCAAATCCGCCATATGATCTTGTTGGCATAATTTTAAGTTCGGAATTATGTTAAAGTCAGCTGACATTATAAAGATCTAACCAAATCCATTTACTTCTGTTTACGATGGAGCAACCGTTCAGCAGTAGACTCTCTTCCTCAGTTCCAAAATTCACGTTTCCAGTCGCACAAATGATTTCAAACGATCCAAAAGAAAGAGAAGCTTGTAAGTCAAACAAGTCCTTTTAAATTAGTGAAAAAAAGGTAAACTTTCTTCTTGTCCATTAGGCTGATTCTTCTCTTTCGTACATACACGCAATTTTAGTATGTCTGGCTACATTAAGGTCGCTTCTCACGACTTATAAAATTACTTTAACCATAAACAGCGTGCTCGACTGCACGCCCTCTCTTTTCATTGTTTGTTTCGAGAAACTGTGTGGATATGTACCCGACCTCACGCGTAAAGCAGGCTCTCGAGAATCACGGTTGAGAAATATACGAATTATTTTGGGAATACTGGCGCACGATGTGTTGCAAGCTGATATGTCTCATATTTCACCCGAGGGCCTATGTAATGGTGATAAAGAGTCAATAATGGCCTTGATTGAACTTTTTGCTGCTTTGCAAAAGATTCCCGAGGATCAACGTAAAAAGAATCGAAAAAATGACAGCAAAGGTTTAAAGACACATAATAATAAAGAAAATATTGGTCTAGCAAATCGTAATATTTCTGTCTCTTCTGTCTCTACACCAAGTGCTGATGATATAATATCAGTCAATTCGTCATCAATACATAAAATGGATCTCAGACACCAAATTCAAGCCAATAATTCTCAACCACTAATCGAAAATAAACAAAGACTTAAAATGAAATTTGATTTCGGATCTTTTAGTAAATCATCAGACACACCCAGAGACAGGTTATCTGGCACAGGCAATCGAGCTGCTTCAGAGAATAGTTCAAAACCACATGTTATTCAGACCAACTATGATAAAATAAATCAAAATATACAGACTGGTATGCAAGACAATCTATAATTTTCCATTAACATATATTCCTACATGGAATTTAATAAATTATCTTTCGATAGGTCACAGAAATGTCGGAGTAGAAACCATTCACTCTAATCTCAGGTCATCTTCAAAGTCAATTAATAATCAAAAAAGGACGATTCAACAATCGTCATCATCATTATCAAGCAACTTCCGAAATTCTTCTGAAGATAAACGTGATGTGCCGCATCAAAGGCACACACAATCGCAAAGATACAAAAACTTGCAGCAACAAAGCGAAGCCGAATCAACATCAACTTCACAACACTCTCGCAAACGTATGGCAGACCCGTTTAAATTGTCTACTGAAGCCTCCAAAAGAATAAAAACGGTATGATTAACGGTAATAATACGACGTAAAACTTGTTTATTTGAATTAAGAATTTACACGGGATACATTGATTCATTTTGCTCTGTCTATCTTCAGAGATCATCTCATGATTCTTTTGAGCGATCAGGCACACCACAAAATCTTCGTATCAATCCTACGGACACTCCTTTTACTCGAGCGCTTAAAGATCGACGTGCACGTCTCATTCGAGAGAGCGATATGTTAGCTTCAGAGGGTAAACAACGAAGCTTATATCTAAGTCGCAAAATTTCAGAAACCTCCAGAAGACTTGTAAATATTAAGTACGGAATATCTCTTGAAAAAAGAAAAGACAATTCATCGAAACGAGAGAAATACGATCAAAGCACCTTCGCTAGTCGAAAAAGGGCTGGTATTCCGTCTATTTCTTCAGACGCCGAATATACTGATAACCATTTGTCAGAAAGAAATTATTACGGATCTGAATTCTCAGCAAGCTCAAATAATCGTTATGAGGAGGATACACAACCTGATACGGAGGGTGCCTTACCTTTATTAGCTCGCTATATTGAGCATGAGATGCCCGGAACTAAATTTTCAGAAGGATTCAATAATCGTATTTGGAAGCATGAATTGGAAAGGTCGAAAAAATCTATTGAAAATGAAAGATGGCAGAAGGTCGTTAATAAGGTTGTTTTTTTTTTACCTTTTGCTAATAACAAAATATAAAGTTTTAAACTCATTTTTTTTATCTAGGGCAAGGAAAATAAAATACACCGTGAACACGAAGCAAGAGCTATTAAAGTATTGGAGAAAAGCTTTGAAAGAGATCAACGATTAGTAAGTATCCTATGATCGATGATTATTACTATTATTTAATTTTGATTTTACGCTTATGGAATTTCGTTAATCTTGATAAAGGCAAAAGAAAAAGAAAATGCAGTTGCTCTTCGAGCTCATCAATATGCTTGTAAAGAGCAACAGAGACAAACTGCCAAGCTACGGAAAAAACAAGAAGAAATTGAAATAGATGTAAAGAATTTAGCCAAACAAAGAAACTACCGCGAGGAAAAAGTAATATTTATTTTTCGAATTCAAAATTTCTATGCTTTGAATTATTATTAATAATCAATTTTTTCTATTCAATAGCTGTTGACCGACTTGTACAAAGATTGTTATAAAAAGCAGTTACCACAAACACGTGATCATTGTACACTAAATGAAATAAGTAGGAATAAAGAAAATCAGGGGAAAGAGGGCCGAGAGAGTTTTCTGAAGGAACAAATCTTGATGCTGGAAGCACAAGTAAGAGAACTGAAGAGTAATCAGCATGTCGCGGATAAAGCCCAAACACAAGTATAATTTCTTTTCATGCATTATTCTTTTAAGTTTATAATGAAATTTGGCTCGTTGATTTATCAAGCATTTATGCTAGGTTCTACGGCAATTAGAAAGCGAACAAAAACGAGAACTTTATAATAAAATAGATAATTTAAGGGAACGATTGAAAGGGGAATACGAGAAAAACTTTGTTTGCTTGGAAGATGAGGCAAGGCGTATAAAGGAAGGATTTCGAAAATAAATTATTTTCTGGATGTGCCTAATATTTATAAATTTAATAGGAACAATTATATTGAAACCCTAATTATTTCAGGATTATTTCATATGTAATTCCTCAAACTTGATATAAATTTATTATGATTACTTGTGAATAAAAGAAATATTAGTTGTTTATCTGTGTCTTATAGAAACGTTAACAATTAAACAGATATATGTTAATTAACAATCATCTAAAGAGTGAATTTTTTAATTTTGTCGCGCTAACTCTAATGCATTTTTAAAGGTTCCTAGTAACGCGGAAACTTGGAATTTTTCAGTTCCGCCCTTAGCAAGCCGATAACTAAAACATAAAAATAATATATAATATTAAGCAAGAGCCAAAATATATTAAAGGGATGACATCACATCATGCTTGGGAGAAGGATCTCTATTAAACAATATCCCCTCCCCCAAGATTTCAATAAAGACACTCACTCAATACTCGCTAGATTGTCCAATAAGTAAATTCGTACATTTGCTGGTAACTGGTATGTTTCTAAATATTTATATATGTCCGTTATGATATCCTGTAAAGCTATGCCTTTCTCTGTTTTTATTTTCATAATTGCTACAATTATAAAAATAAAATTAACATAAAATCGTAACATATATACAATCCAACAATAATTAATACAAACTTGAATGAGCTGCAGTAAATTCATCGCCCGACATTGCTTCAACTATATCTTTGATATTTTGTGGCTCAGGATTCCCAGTGCAACTATACACCGCATTCGCATCAATTTGGTCATAGGCAGCATGACAAGACTTTTAAAAAAAGCATAGGCCAAGAAAATATTATTAGCTTATAAAAAGTTTAAATTGGAATTTAATATTCGAATTACCTGAAGAACGTTTAAAGCTTTACGCATATCTCCCCCGGCGAGTTTCATTAGCGCATGCTTCCCTTCTGATGTGATATTTACACTATTTCGAATGTCGGTAAGTGCTTATGTTAAGAGTAAAATAAAGAGAATTCATGCCTTACTTTTCAGCTTCAATAATCAAGTTTAGACGTGATTCGACCTGATCAAGTTCTAGTGGCGAGAATCGAAAGCGCGTACAACGCGATTGTATTGCTGGAATTATTTTACTAATGTAATTGCAAATGATGCAAAAGCGAACGTTTTGCGTATATTTTTCAATAACTTTTTTTCAGAAAAAATCAATATTAATAGAAATCAAAGGAAACCCCAAATAATATATTATTGATATTTTACTTCGCCTCAAAGCATTTTGAGCTGCTTGAGTCATAGCATCCGCCTCGTCCAGAATAATCAATTTAAAGCCAGAACTAGAAATTCAAGATGAGAATGTAAATGAATCTAAAAAAAGATTATCGAGCCAAAATATATTAAGTGATTTATTCACCTAAAGATCTTACGCGTGCTCGCAAAAGTCTTTATCTCTTCTCGAACCGTATCAATGCCCCTTGTGTCTGACGCGTTCATCTTTTGTAAATGTTGTTAGTTTTTCATATTTAAGTTCAGTTTTACAACAAATTATATTTTGTAGTATAATTGGACAATTCAAACAAACCTCCATAATCATGCTTCTCCATTTAGGTCCATATAGTTTTTGAGCACATGCAAGTATTGTTGATGTTTTACCGGTACCGGGCGGACCATAGAACAATAAATGTGGTAATCGATGTTCTTCGATGAATTTTTCGACTAAATCGATCGAAACATAATCATACAATTTATCAAGATATTATGTGGTCGTAAAATCACAGGATAAATATCAATTCTATCTATACTTGTGGATATTATAACTTTGTGAGAAACGAGGTCATTGAGCGTTTTTGGACGATATTTTTCCACCCTAATTCAGTATTAAAAAAGCGTGTTTTTTTATAATTGCAAATGTGATATATTTGAGTTAGCAACGAACCAAGGTAAATTATCATCCCCTGGTGGAGCAATTTCTGGTTGGTCAACGACTTTTCCTTTTCCTTTAACTTGGTTGTTTGATCCAAGTCTTATAGGCGAGGAAGATCTGTCTCTCTCCTCTTCTTCATAGTCCATGAACTCTATATCCATGAGTATTTTCGGTGTTGAGATAGAATTACTTGTCGCGTAAGATTTTCGAGTTGTAATGGGGTACGTATATCGTGAAATTTGGGGGAGTCCAAATTTGGTGAACAGCTTACCATTGGTTGGAATTGTTGACGTTGTTGAATGAATTTAAAAGAATTATTATGACTTTTTTAATATTAATGGAAGATCAATCTCGTGTAATGCTGGAAAAACTGGAATAAGTTTTTCAGTATATAGAAGACTTCAGCAAGTATATAAATAGTAGACATTTTTTAAGATGCAAGCCAGAATATTAGTGACTACCAAGTATCCGCTGTTTCTTCCAACAGATTCGGTTAGTTCGTTGTGAAGGTGCTTGTATTGCTTTCAAGCGAGGTGCAAGGTAAGTAAGGTCCGGGGATTTGAAAGCCATTTGCATTTCAATCGTTGCCACTTCCAATCTTTTTTTATCTTCCTCCATACTGGCACTGGCACATATAATGGAAGTTATAGACATTTGTTTCGAGTACCATAATAATCATCAATAATCGCAAAAATTCACTTTTTTTTTATTTGATAATTTAGCAACTAGTGAATTTTGATATTTGAAAGTATAAGAAGACATCTTTCAAATAATATCTTCTCACTAACCTTTTCTCAAAGTATGAAAGAGAGAAAGAAGATACTTTAGAAAAAAGTGTGATCATAAAAACTCAATAATACTCGGACTTTTTACAAAATTTCTCGCAATTCAAGGAAAGCTAAGTGAGCAAATGAAAAACAAAAAAATTTCGTCAACATGTGGTAAAGAAATAAATATAAGAATAAAGTCATAGAAATAATAAATAAATCATTACCACACGTCCACACTGAAATCTTTTTACTACATACAAATAAATGAACACAACCAAAAATATGCTCAAGACATAAAAAATAAAATTGCTGCCTGTAATTTTCTCTCCCTCCTCGGAATCAATATAAAAGATAATAAATCCAACAAACCTTGATTCTTACAAAGAAACAAAAATTCGTGCAAAAATATGTACATTGGGTAAAGATATAAAACAAGAAAAGGCAACTAAAAAATTGCGGTGAGCGAGACCAAAAATGTGAAAATATATATATAAAATATATAAATCCCTCAATATAAAAATGGTGGTATAATTGAAGGGTTTATGCGTGTATATAAGAAATTTGATATTTAATAGGTAAATAGTGAGAAGAAAAAAGTCAACATCGTAAGAGTGAAGCTAGTTTTACATTTCCATGCATATAGAACAAATAAAAAAATATGCAGGAAAGGAAAACGGCTGGGTTGATTGATAAGAATATAAAATGTGAATTGATTGATGAATGTTCACCGCGTGTAAAAAAAAAAATAAAATGAAAAAGGATAATAATAACGCGTGAAATATAGTTTGTGGAATGCGAAAAAGTTTATAATATATACAAACAGATATAAGTTCGACGTTACATATTTACACAGTACATTTACACATATGCACTCACTAGCCAATACTGGAGGAATTATCGTTGACCTTGTAAAGTGTGTGAAAAATGTCTTTTAGTACTGGAGTAATTCTTGACAAATCTAGTCATTCTCGATTTCTCTCCAATGTTCCTCCGCTAGCTGCCGCCACTTCACTGGCAACTTTTCTTGCTAGCACTTTTTTATGAATTTCTTCTTCCTCTTCATCGTCATAAGTTTCATCTTCATCCTTGATTGTGTCGCTATTAGTTCCACTAGTAATAATATTCATTGATGTAGTTGGGCTATTCAATGTGCCACCACCAAGAATAATAGAAGGACGACCTCCATTTGATATACTAGAATTAGAGCCACGACTGCTAACAGAAGATGTACTTGCACTTCTGTGCAGCAATCCCGCAGGCTTTGGAAGTAATGGTGGCGGAGTAGTTGATCTTGATTCATCCATTGATCTACGAGTGGTGGGTGGCACAGAAGCGAAAGGAAGTTGTTTTACCATTGGTGTGGCGGACGATAATGTACGAAGATGAACTTTATTATAAGGTGTTAATGAAATTTTAGGTGATCCTCCTTCGTTTCCCGATAAACTTCGTGAAGAGGATAGTGCAAGATTGTTATCGCTATTGAATTTCACTAGTGGAGATGGAGATTTTGGTACTTCAGCAACAGACTCTGATCCACCAAACATTACTCTCATAGCCCCCGTTCTCCAACTTGTACGTTTAACCGATAGAGGACTTGTTATTATCGATGATATTTCTGCAATAGAATTAGAAATGTTCAATTCTTTCTCTTTGCTAACTTCAATTTTGTCATTTTCTTTTTCAAATTCTTCATTTTTTGATTTTTCATGATTCTTATCTTTTTCATCACGTGCTCGATCCAAACTTGTCCTTGGTCTGAATAAAAAATTTCCTACTTTTTCTGTAATGTTTCTTTTCTCTTTCTCTTTCTCTTTCTCTTTCTCTTTCTCTTTAATACTGCCACCACTTCCACTACCACTCTCTCTGTCTTTTTCTAAAATTGGTATTGCTTTTTCTAATCTAGTTACGATAGATGATGATGAATTGACTTCAGATCCTTCACCCATGCTGTTTGGGCGTGATTCTCCACTTCCACTCGTTGAACTAGTTCTTCCCCTTCCACTACTTGTGCTCCCGTTTCCGCCTGTACTAGTTCCACTCCCACCAACAGTACTGCCGGCACTCTCACGAAATTTACTGCTCGAATTTGATATTATACTAATTCCATTCCACGTTCCACCATTTGCGCTATTTCGTTGAGAATTAGAGGAACCACTTGTACTTTTATGTTTTTGTGGCTCGCGCAACAAGCTTAATTCATCAACTTTCTTTTCGGGCATCCAAGATCGTGTTAATAAATAATGAGTCAATAATTGTTGTCGTTCTTCAACAGTCTCGTTATCTTCATCGTGTCTCAGATGAAATTTATGTCCACCACGATGTAAAGCAGCGCTAATACTTGCAGTTCGAAAATGATGTTTTGTCGAGGCTTTTATATATGAAACTGGTGGCTTTGGCGGATATTTAGGTCCAGTTTGATATCTTTTCATGGACTGCAACAATTCTTGAACTCGCGGATCATCCCGAGCATTTGAACTTCCCGATGAAGGAAATGATGTACTACTATTTGGGGTAACTGATCCCGATGATTTGACTGCGGCCAATAAATACGTTGCATCCATGATAAAGGTTCCTAAAAATGGTATAACTGGTTTCCGTATAAACTTCTCTTGCTGTACTGTTTCACGATATTTTCCATAGTTACTTGATTCACTCATAAGTTCATTCAATGAATCCAATTTCGTCATACTTTTCTTTGGAATACAAGCCCATGTTCGTTTTAACCTCTTTATAGGAGGTGTACCTAAAGCAGATAGAATACCCTTTAATGTCTGATAATTGTGCAATTCATGCAATTTTACAGCTACTTTAACCCAATAATGAATAACTAGAGCACGTGCCGAGGCTTCTTGCGGTGATAATATAGAACGCTCTACGACACGTGTTAGAAAATTGAAGAAATCTGTAGATGCAGTTATTTTTGGATCCGGATTTTTGGGAGAATGCGCGAGTAGGGAAAGTGGGTCGATTTCCAAGAATATAGAAGATTCAATTAATGTCAATTGATAAGCAATCATATGAGGTGCGAAGTCTAATATACTCGGATCAGCAGCAGCTTTGAAATACAAGTTTCGATTTCGAGTAATTGCTTCTTTATAACTTGCTAGATTTGCTCCATATTCAAGAAGAGCTTCGTTGATTTCATCATCAGATAATTCACATGGACTTTGCTTTAAGTCAATATTATCCGTTTCTCCTGCCCGTCGAGTTTTCAGTATAGTGCGATACTCGATCAGCTTTACTTCCAATGATTGAATTTTTTGTTCAAGTTGCGAATGTTGGATGAGTAAAGGAGAAGCCGGTATTTGAGGTATATGATCCGAATAGCTATGAGAAGGGGAGCTGGGTGATTGTGAATTTTCTGATTCATTTAATACATTTGCTGCAATTAAATTATTTGGATCAACAGCTCCTTCGGGCACTACGTTAATTATGTCATGCCTACGTTCGAACGGGAGCAGATTCGCTATTGATTCGTGAAGTGACATTTTAAATTGTGGAAACAGTTGAAATCTCGAGCTTGGAGATAAAATGTGAGAAGAATAAGAACTTTCTTCGTCTGTTGGAGAATCAGTAAGAGATCCAGCTAATGTTGATAGTCGCCTAGCAGTGGTAACTGAAAGATTAGGGGATGATGAACGTCGAAGAAGTAGCGGTGCTGTTGATACATTTAAAGATTCATCTGATTTTCTTCTATACGCGTCTATAAAAGAATTTTATTTAAAGTATATTTTTAATAAAGTACATATCAATAAGATGATAAAAATACCATTATTTTTCGCAAGATATTCATCGTCTTCATCTTCATCGTCAGAATCAGAAGTATCGGCTTCATCTCCATCTCTCTCATCGTAATCTCCTTCAACCCCTTCCTCAACACCTTCCTCAACATCTTCGTCTTCTTGACCCACATCACCATAATGTTCTATATTCTCATGTTTTTTATCCGGGGGAAGAACTTGTGCATCTCTACCCACTCCTGATACCTCCACGTTCTTCAAATATTTTTTTAAGCTGCCTGTCCGAGTAGGTTTTGGTGGTAGTGGTGGTTTAGATAATTGTGGCGATAATGAAATCTCGTTTTTTGGAGATGTTATTGACAATTCTTCATCGTCATTATACTTTGTCATTGACCGTCGAGGTTTTGGAGGTATTCGTGGAACTTTTTGTTTATTTATTTGATCAAATGAATGCTCCTCCTGTGGTGTGGGCGGATAAATGGCAATATTTAAATTTGGATTTTTGCGCGATGGACTTAGTGGTTGATTTTTAACAATTATATCTTCAGCATAAGCTAAACACTTTCGTGATATTGTAAATACTGAACTTATTGATGGAGGTTTCGAAGTCACAACTAATTATGGAAAATTTATGGTTAAACTTTTAAAAACGCTCTTATTTATCCTTTTATTCTTGATTAGCAAAAATGCTTTATGTTGGTTAATGATAGCTATTATTATTAGCTCTAAAATAGTGTAAAATATTTTGAGCTGAATATCTTTTGGTACTTGTTTTGGCATTGAACTTACCGTTATTTATGAACTTTATGCTTTGTAGTTCTTTGGAAGCAAGGTCGAGTGCACTTATATATGAAAAGTATGCATCCTGTCCGCATAAGTAATTAAGGTTCAAGACAAAAAGAGAAGAAAAGGAAAAGGTTAAATATCAACAGATATCGGAAAAAGTAGAAACCCATAAACATATAATATGATTGAAATTCTATGTTAATGATAAGAGAACTTGCCACAACCTCTCTTTCGTACCTTTACATTTCCAGTGGATAGATTGTCTGTTGCCCTCGTAAGAAGTTGTTGTATTTCTTCCATAGTTTTAATCAAAGAACCCCTTGATGAAGGGCGTGTTTCTGCCTTGTCCAAAGAAAAAAAATGCAAATTTGGCGGTTTCGCTGTCCGTATAAGGGGGTGTGGTGGTTGGGCGAGTCACATCGATGATGATTGGTGGGAAGCTTGGGTGCACAAAATCAATAATATCAGACACAAACTTATCCTACTTATCATCATTTAAGAGGGCAGGGCTTTCTTTAACCACTTTTTATGTGCATTATTAATAATTATAAATATTAGGTTAAAGTACAAAACCGATTGATCATAGAGTTGATCTTCCAAGCCAAAACGAATCTAATGAAAAACGTAATAAATAATAGGGATTTATTCATTAATCTGATGTAATAAAATGAATAGTCAAATAAAAAATATAATTGTTAAAAACATGTTCAATTATAGATTACAATAGGAAACTGCAATATTTTACCGTGAAATATAATGACGCGCGTGAGATTCACCAATACTCATCTGATATCAATATTATAATGATAAATTCAAATGATTTATTACGTATATCATGCATATTTGTATATATTACATGTAAATATGGTGAATATATAGATATAGATTAATATATATATTTAGAGTACTATTCAGTATGAAAATACGTATTATGGAATACAATATAAATAATTGTGGCTCGTAGTCAAGTGATTTGACGACCTATACGAAACAAAAGAATGCGCACGCTATCCAAACATTAGTCTTCGAGAATTACATTTGCAGATGGCAAATTTTGCGTCAACTAATAATGGTTTATGTTGCATCAATACATCTGTTAATATTATTGATAAGATATGTTTTGTTAGATATCGATATTAATAATTGATCTATATTTAACAATGCATTTGTACTATTCTTAAATACACCGACACATTGTGTAAATATTTTTAGCATAGTGATAAGAATAATTTATTGTTGTATTCGCGTATTACGAATAATACTGTACTTTCCTTTCCTGTTTTCGGTTATGATCGTTGTAACTATCAATCAAAAAGCGAATGTATTCTAAATTATCGAAAAAAATCGCAACCCAATAATATATTTCTCGCTATCTGACCAGTAAGTAGTACATTCGCTACATTACTATATAGTACAGCACTGATTTGTGATTTATAATGATAATAAAGGTAAAATAAAGATATGTACTATTTATCTATATACACAATGTTTTCTGAATTAGAAAAAATAGAAAATGGTAATAACCATCATAATAATAATAATTAATAAAATAACAAAACTAAAAGTATCCTTATAGGTATCTAACTTCATCAATACCTAAACTTCGCCTAACTTGAACAATCGCCACTAATTCTTTCACAGCTTCTTCTAAAATCACAACATTATTCAATAAAGAACTTAACGTAATTTCTTTAGGTTTGGTCTCTTTTGGTTTGGTACTCGTCTGTTTTTTTGATGCAAAAATTTCATCATCTTCATCGCCCAAATCATATGGATCCTCCTCTTCATCATCATTCACGAAATGATTTGGGAAAAGTGGCTGGATCTTTATACTTTCCGTCTTGAGGACATGGGTGTATAATGGCGTGATAATGTTTGAAGACATCGAGGAAGATTTGAAAGATGACAAGGGAGAATTGATAGAGGAATTCACGGACAAAGCATCTCCTTGGATAGAATTAGATCTCTTCAGATTACGAGTCTTACTTGATGGGCTGACCGTGAGTGAGTTACTTGGAGTCATAATAGTCGGAGTTGTATGATTTGCGCTACTTGCTCTACGAGTTCGAGCAGGTGCAGCGATGGAAGATGATTGTGATTTGAAAAAGTTTTCGTCTATTTCATCATCAGCGCCCAGCAATCCATTACGACGTTCTTCAAGGTACTGATCAAATTCTTCAATTTCACTACGATAAGAAGCAACTTGCTGAGTTAAAGTCTGAAAGATAGTAAAAAAAGGAGGAAAGTTTGCCCACGATGGAATTGCACCAATAGCCTTGGCAGCTGATGGATTTTTGTCGGCATTGTAATCGACCGACCGATCATCGTTGTCGTCGAATTCATTAATTTTATCTTCATTTTCAGAATTACTATCATGATTGGCAGGTCCCAAACTAATATCATTTATTCTTGTCTCATTGTGTATACTATCTGAATCTCGCACGATTGATTCACTTTTATCAAGACGATCAACACCGCTGAATACAAGCCAACCTTCAAGCGAACGATAGGGGCAAACTGCCAATGCGGAAATAACACCGGTAAGTGCAAGGTTTAATTCGGGAGAATGAGCAAAGAAATTGGATAAGGTGCCAATAAGAATTTGAAGGAGCGAATCATTCGGATTTAACCGGTCGGTAGGATTTAGACGATGTTTAGGGACAGTAGATATTCCTTTATCGGAATCTTTTTTCCCGCTCCTTTTATATGTTAGAATCGGCTGCCTCGTGTTCTTAGATCCTCTTGGTTTGATCGGTCCTTCTTCTGTCCATTCAACGTCTTGTCCGTTACGATAACACAAATCTGCCTCAATTGTCGCTTCAGCATCTCGAACATAGCAATCATATCCATTAATGAATATTTTCATATTCTGTTTCGGATCTATTGTCGTGATGAGACTAAAGAATAAATCTAATTCCCGTGAGTGATGACTAATAGTGGTAAGTTTTTGTGTGGGTGAAATACTGTTTGGTGATCCGAACTCTTCAAGGTTGTGCATGTCTTCAAGATAATTCGGGCGTGGGAAGCAAGTAGCATTCTCATCTAACTCGATATGCAATAATTTCAACGAGTATCGACAATGTTTCGAAATCACAGTGTGTAAAAGTTTAAGGGCAGAAATGACAGTCTGTTGTGAGGACGATTTAAGACGTGAAAAGATCAAATCTTTTAAGGTGAAACGACCGGCAGTAATAAAATAAGGTGGTGATGTGATTGAACTTGCTTCTACACCAGCGAATAGATTGATAGTACTTTGCCTTTTTTGTTTGAGTGTGCTCTTTTTCCAAAAATCTTCATCATCATTATCCGAGTCCATTAAAAATCCAACCACCACCTCGACCAATTCCTCTTGTTCCAATGTCTGTAGTATAATATCAATATAAGATATGACTGCGACAGCGGAGCCATCCGTGTCAGAACACTCCAAAATAGAGGGATATAAAATATTCTCTAAAAATAAGGATTTAATATTCTTCAATAAGTCCAAGGAAATATCCGGATTTGGACATCGATTCAATACATCCTGACAGAATTCCAAAAGTTTCAAGAAAGAATCGAGTTGTAATATGAATTGAGGTGATGATGAAACTTCAATTCCGCCTATACGTAGTCGTTCCAATTCTGTACTTGTGTTATCACCAAATCCTAGTAGGGTGGCATTCGTCAATCCTCCGCCCGAACTCTTAACCATTAGTTTTCGGGGAAGTTGCGAATAAAGTGCACCTAATCCGGCAGACATGATTGTGGCAAAATCACTTTCTACAATAAAGTCGCCTAGCTGATCTACGGCGAGTTCCATGATAAAGAGTAAACCTGTTCGTGCAAAGTCCCCACTTCTACCTTCCCGATGGACGAATCTCAATAAGTATGTAAACAATAAAAATTCGTATTCAGGTTTATCTGGCTCTTCGGTGAATTCTGTTGTTTTAGCAGAAGATTGAGTCACTATACTGTTTGTGGTCATCATTGAAGCGCTATCATCTGGATTTCCATCTTGACTACTATTGGAAGATACGCTTGTCGGTTTTGCAAGTGTAGATGGAGTTTTTGAAGCTGCTTTTTGAGGGGTAGTGAGCCAATGAGTATTATGAAAAAATATATTAAGTAAAGCTGGAAAGCCATGAATTTTTGAACAAATGATGTACATTAAATCCACTAAATCTTCATGATAGATTTCATTTTGTTCATTCTGCACACAATCGCGTAAAAGTCTGACTGTTGGCTGATGCACAGCATTGTGTACGAGAAATCTATCGTCCAACAGATCGATCAAACTAGCGACAGTACGAATTACTTCACCACGGATTCCAAGTGGATAATCTTTCTCGGAAAGAGCAACCAAATCAGACAAAATATTATTTCGTAAAAATTCTTCCATACAGACTCCAGTGTTAACGTCTTCCAAACGTAAACCTTCATCCACGAGAAGGTCCACCATATTTTTGAGTCGTTCTGCGATCTCGATTATGTCAACAATTTCCACTGGTTTTTTTTCCTTTTCTTCATTATTTATAACCGTTCCCTGATGTTGGCAAAGGTTTTCTTTTTAGAGTATGATATTAATAGGATCCGTTTCTTTCAACGACTTTACTACTTTAAAAATTCGGAGCCAATACACATACAAATATATACATATATATATATATATATATTGTTGAACGTGTTATTCCAAGGTATCCATCCACCAACCCACCCACCCACTCACTCACACCCAAGGCTCTTACCTGCACATAGGCCCAGCATTTACGAAATTTCGCTAGCTGTTCAGCATGACTAGGTTGTGCTCTTTGTGGTGTTATTCTACTCTTGAAATTTTTAAAGTATTCCATGTTTTGCGTAGCAAATGCGGCCTGTTTGCAAATTTATTCCCCCTGTCAGTGTATCTCTTTAATATACTGTGCGCAGATTAATATACCATACATCACACGAAAATCCGTACCACACAAGCACATAAATTTTAATCCAATCATTCATTACGAATCTTTTTTTAATCAGATTGAAAATCGGTTATCAGATCAAATAAAAAAAATCCTTAATATACTACATCAAAGTCATTACAATCAAATGTCCATAATGGCAAGAGAATGAGATATATATTAAATAAATAAATATAAAAACATATATCACAAATTTAAAAGAGTGGCGGCTATGTATATGGTTGTGAGTGACTTGTTGGTCAAAGTGTTTTGAATCGATCGCATACTTTCACAATAAAAAATATAAATTTCGCGATTTCCAAAAATCGAGAAAACACTCTCCATATAGAGCATACTTTCTTCTAATCGATATTAATAATAATAGTAGCAATAATAATAATAATAATAATAATAATAATAATAATAATAATAATAATAATAATAATAATAATAATAATAATAATA